GATAGTATCTATGAAACAGGAAAATAAATATTTATGAAATAGGAAAATTAATTAACTTCTATTTTATTAACTGATCCAGCACATTAAGTTTTAGTAGTCGTATTATATGATAAGAGTTAATTAACTTGAACTTCATTACGCAACTGATCTGCAGGATATTATGCCTTACTAGTCATATGAAAGCATATTCATACGAATTAATTAAAAATCTTAATTAGATTAACTAAGATAAATTTAGTCTTTATTCAAAAATGTGTATTCCCTGATTATTTGCTTCTACAATTTAGATATAAGAATTAGAATACTATTTAGCTGTATGACTTTAAATACTTATAACGAACTTGATTAATGAGATCGTTTTTATAAAAAGTGTTGGAATCGATTATCCATGCTGGATGTGTCGGATCAGCTTAAATACTTGCAACACTAATGCTTTAATGTGAATTTCTTAACCCTCGTGGGAATTTTCCTACCAAAAATATTTGATAAATCAACTGGAATTGAAGCCTTTCGCCCATGGCAGTGGTGGTTAAATAAATGGTCGTTAATTTTGATAATTTTACGAGGCCGTCAACCGGTCGTTACGATAAGCATCAACAAATTTTGTCCACGCTAATAATTAACGTAAAGGAGTGAAGGATACCATCTGAAAAGTATACGGGTGCTGCTTTAATATACGGGTATCGTGTTAGTTTTCGTTGAACAAATTCATATCGTTCAAGGAATTCCCACTTGATCTTTTTAAACACACTTTTCATCGTAACTCTACATCCCAAATTTTCGTTCGCAAGTTTGGATTTATATCAGTTATAAGTAAATGAATTCACAAAAGATGAAGATAATAAATGCAATTAAAAGATTATTGAAAATGTCAACTTCTCGCTCCATTGAGCGATCTGAACTCAACATTTCTATAAAAAAGTTCGTCCTTCTGAATTCACGTTTCGCTGAATTTCCACTGAAGAGTTAATCTTACTGATCCTTCGAGTGGAAAAATGTTGAGAAAGCATGGATTCGATTTAATGGAATCGAACGTGAATAGGGTAGACGTGTTTTCAATGCATTTCTCACTTACCTGAGAGAAGTACGGTGGCAGGACGCATCGTTGATCATCGAGACGCGAACTCTGTACCCTTTCGAGTAACTCGAATAAATCTTGCGTGGTGCTCTGGTAACAGAAAATAGCGTGACGTTTATTCAGGCTGCCTGAATCGAGGTTTCGTCCAGCGTCAAGCTCCATTCACGATCAATTTATCACGAAACTTGGTAACGAAATTTGCTACGTAACTAGAAAACTGAAAAATCTGTGCGTAGCATCGAAATCTCGCAAAATAACGAAACCTCCATTGTCAATTTCGATATAATATTTTTCAAATGCTACTATTATATATTTAACAAGCATAGTTTATATTTATTCTATTATACGATATTAGGATATGGACAGATGCGTTAAAAATATCTTTTGAATTACTTGTAGGTCAGTTATGTACGTTACCTTTATTTTCTCTTGATTAGCGCCTTGGACTTCTTGCCTTTCATCCTCCGAGGCTGCACGCCGAGGCTCAGCCTCACAATACACAGATTGTTCCAGCTGCTGTCTCCTGAAACAATTAAAAACACTCATTAGCGAACGTTCCGAACAATGCGAAAATTCTTATCCTCATCATACAAAATATAATATTTTATTTTATACATTATTAATTAATATGCCGTTCTATTATTTTACGTCATCCTTTCAATTTTTCATAAACCTTCAATTACTGGGTTAAATCTTTCGACCCGTGATTCGCTTAAAATTTCACAAGATTTCCCATGATGATTAATCACCATCGCATTTTAATCCCGTTATAAACTTCGATGTGATGCAACGTTCTCATTTACAAACTCCTCTAATCATGTTCTATTCTATTTCTGTTGCACTGATGCCATCCATCATCCTTTATCGGCGTGTATCGAACGATTTACAAGACAAGTCCGTTTCGAGGCGAGACACGAGGAAGCAGATGGGCTTGGTGGAGTTGAAAGGTCAGTCTTCTAGGGTCCACGAAAAACTCGTCAAGATCGACTAATTCGGGCCTCCCCTACGAAGATCGCCTGAAACAACTGCGCATCTGGCAGCAGCTGCTGACTTTTCAACCATCGCGATTATCTCTTATCCGGACAATTTCTCTTTCTACATTTGGCTTAGCATAGCAATTTTACGCCATTACTGTAGATTTTACGCACTTGAAAAAAATGTCTTTTATTAACTGATTTATTTTGCATAAAAATCTAGTTAATACGTAATAAATAAATGTCATGAACAGAAGAATCAGATGTAAACTCCTCCAAACAAACGTATATCTTTACACAAGTGGTTGACCAATGGGCATACATTCTATCCCAAAATCCTTATTTCTGTTTCTCCTAGTTAGAAATAAATCGCAAAGGGATCCTCAATTTTTTCTAATATGCTGTCGACGAATTCGCAGCTGCGTTTCTCTTTGACATTACGCCTATCATCAACGATCCTATAAATTCATCAGCCCCTGGTTCCGTCCGATCACGATGACTTCTATGAAAACTCGAACAGACAAATGGATCCGTATCGTTAAACTCCAATAGGTAATAACCGCAATAGGAAAGGCTGACGCGTTGATAAACGAATATCGGTGATCGCGAACACCCGACTCGGGGCGGTTTAACACGTGACTGGCAAGAATCTCCCCTCGCGGGAATCGGTGGACCGAAAATTTGATAGACACCGCGCGAGAAAGAACGAGACAGGCCTGATTGAAATTCAAGCAGCGCGTGACCAAACGATTCGTCGTAAGGGTTTTTGCCCGGTCGCACCGTGGATGATGACGTTCATTCATCATCGAGTCATTCGCCGCAGACAGATTGGGATTCCGGTTGCACGTGGACGTTCGCTGGACAAGCGAACGCTCGACTCTCTGCATACGCGAACAGATATTTCAAAGCACAATGGGGTCTTAACTACTTGGGCCTGTTGCCAACACTGCCTCGCCAGACGAGATACGAGTGACCACAAAAAGAGATTGGCACACATCCATGAAGAGCTTTTTCATCAAATACATTAAATTTGTTGTACCATTTTAATCAACGTTCATTTGATCCGAGAAAAAGACAAATTACTTCGATAAAGGGTCAAATGCTAGTATAAATCTGGGTACTATTAATGTTTCAATACGTAAACTATTCATTTGGTTCATTTTAGAAATAGACGAGAACTAAATTTTATAATCGATTATTAAACTAATAAACGCTCATTAAATTAATTTTAGAGTTCATCGATTAACACTTATTACTCATATAAAGCTAGATAGTATCTATGAAACAGGAAAATAAATATTTATGAAATAGGAAAATTAATTAACTTCTATTTTATTAACTGATCCAGCACATTAAGTTTTAGTAGTCGTATTATATGATAAGAGTTAATTAACTTGAACTTCATTACGCAACTGATCTGCAGGATATTATGCCTTACTAGTCATATGAAAGCATATTCATACGAATTAATTAAAAATCTTAATTAGATTAACTAAGATAAATTTAGTCTTTATTCAAAAATGTGTATTCCCTGATTATTTGCTTCTACAATTACATAAAAATCTAGTTAATACGTAATAAATAAATGTCATGAACAGAAGAATCAGATGTAAATTCTTCCAAACAAACGTATATCTTTACACAAGTGGTTGACCAATGGGCAGAAGAATGCTGTCCTTCCATTCATTAGTAAAACTGAGAGCTAGTTAGTAAATGCTTAACAAGTATTACATAAGGAATGTGAAGAACGTGGAGTGTATAAAAACTTAATGACAGTTTTACAAAATTCTATTCATAGTTTCTAACTTAGGTATGTACTGGTGAAAAATATTTATCAACAACGAAGTCTTATGTTTGTCTTCTTAAATTCTTGTGTTCCCCTGTGCGAACTGATCTGTCCGATTGCTGACGAACGAATAACTCTCGACTCGTTATGGTTCGAAAGCTTCTTACAAAATTACGTAAAGAGAAAGGGTAAGAAGCAGAAGGGATTGCTTTCTTCAAACGAAGAAAAAAGATACGGAAACCCCAACAGACGGGGGCCACGTGCGATGGACAGTTCGGACTTTACCTTTCAGGTATCTTAAGAGACCTTCGCTTAATTGTCATATATTTGGCAACATTCGTCAGATGTTAAAAATATCCTTGGCAGATTAGTATAAAAATTTTGTAAAACCTCTGCTCTCTTCCTGTCTTGTCCTCTCCACGTGCAGTAAACTAATAAAACAATTAAAAAATGCTAAGACACGCACCACCTGCATTAAAAATAACCGGTGACCTTTACAGACTTAATGACCAAAGGGAAGTGACTTGTGTTTATTGAATGACATTTTAAATGCATCCAATCCAATGAGTGATCAATCTACCATCGATTAAAAAATGTCAGTAACGCTGGGAGACATAATGCACAAGATTTTCATTTGAAAATTTGACCTGCGAACTTATTAAATAATTGATCCTTTTTTTTCATCTTCTATTTGCTATCTTCGATTTTCAACACTTCCCCGCGTTACTGCAAACGACCCACGCATACATTTATTGTACAATTGGTTGTAAATCAACAATTTAAATGTGAACTCCGTCGGATGTATTATTCAAATCCCGCCCCGGCGCGCATTCGAACACGGTTTTCAACCGACTCTGGCTTCGAGAAACCCGATAAGTATGGTTCAAGCGTACAAAGCTGCTACAGTATCTTCAAATTTTTCGTTATAAATTCCACGATGTATTGATCCGAACTTTCGCGCTTCTCCTCACTGTTCATTCTCGCGAAAAATATTTCCTCTCGCTCAACGAAAGTTTTAACAAATGTTCAATACAAGAGAATATTCGATGTACAAAGTTGGTTTCATGAAGAATAATAATTTCTTCCCCTCAGTTAAAATCAATTATAATAAAAGACCAAATCAAGTGCTTCTAACTAATAAAAATGAATATTAATAATGGGAAGGCGTGAGTTGAATTTTACATCGTCCACCGGCAAAGTCAGCCGACCAATGGGAAGTCAGTGGTCCAAACTTGAAAGTGTTAACTGCAGTCAGTACTCTTAACAGCTCGGGACACTCGAAAGCGCTCGAACAGATGTGCTCTTCTGATTTCAAGTGTCCCGCGGTCAAAGGCCAAGATGTTTCCGGGCAGTATGCTCTAACACGCGGGGTGACTTCCACGTGAACAGAACACGCCGTCCACAACTGTCCCTCAAACCAGAGACAGAAAACTTTTGAACGCAATCAATTTTCATCGCAATTAACGACTTTGTAGCAGAGGAACGGCGACTGCAAGGAACTGAACAGAGGATATCGATCTTATCGGTCGCATCGGTTATTCGTCACCTCGTCCCGAAGGAAAAAAGGCTGACAATGAAAGGAACAAGTGGGATGATACGCTGGATTTCTGCGACTCATTCGACCACTCCGATTGCGATCGTTCAGTACAGTAATCAACAAAAGTTCTCACCCTGGATATAATAGTACAGCGTGTCTATATTTCTATTAGTTATTACAATAAAATTATTGGATAAAATTATACGAAATATAATGTGAAATATTGTATCAATAAATACAAGAATTATTGTATCAACTATTGTATGAAACACTGCATTAAATACTGTATTAATACTTTAAAAATATTCTATTTTATCCTGTATCTTAATTTGTATTCTGTATAAATAATTTTGTCGATCACTGTATATTCTTCGTGAATATATATATATATCTCTCTTTTTCCGTCGGGCTCTCATCTACTTGTATTTCGTAACGCCGCGCGACCGAGCACGAGATAAAGGAAAGAGCTGTCCTTTCAATCGCAGAGAAAGGAGAGGCCACCGTGACGTGACAGTAATTTAAATAATCGAACTCCAAAGGAGTCCATCGCGATTGCTCCCTATTTTCTCGCCGCACGGTACAAAGATTGCGATACAAAGTGGCCGGATCAAATGAGAATGTCGTCAGCTACGTAATACTGTCCTCCCTGTTTTGCATTTTATTAAATTGCATTCTGTTCGTGTCTTCTTGAAATCGATACGATTTTATGTAAAGCACAATAATTCATATTATTTATTATTGTTTAATATCGTTCAGAAAGAAGATTCGTAACCACGCTTAAGCTTTTATAATAGAATTAGAGCGAAAAAAGTTCAGATTTAATTTTTCTTCAATTTTCAATTAGTTTTCTTTAAGATTGTAATCGTTCAAATGCGTAGATGACGAGATAACGCAGATGAATGTTCTCTTCGACGTGTCCTTAGTTTTTCTCAGCTGATTTCGAGATTCGACAACAATGTGCAGGCGGTCGTGCGCATGAGCCAGGCGAATTGCGAAAGAAGGTCGTACGTACCGACTTGCTTATGTACGCGATCGAGAAAGTGGACGGACTAGGTCTGGTCTGCCTCGACAAGGCAAAATAGGTGGAAGGTGGAACTTCTAAAACGAACTGCAATCTTTCTGCGACTGGCATTTATCGTCGTATCTGTCGATAATCGCACATTCCGGCTCGTCGACCGCCATAAACGAGCAACGCAACAACACTGCGGCTCGATCCGAGTCACGGG